CCGAATGGCCACATTCAGGTTCCCTGCACAGCACGGGCACTTGTATTTAAAGCTGCAAACTCCCCAAGTCAGCTGGACCAGTGGATTTGTCCACAAAGGTCACCGAACGCTACGAAGCCCGTCTGCCTCTTTGTCGGTCCCCGCCGCTGACAAGCCAATTCCGACTCGGGGCGTCCCCGCGCGTGGCGGAGCAGACCTGCTCCCTTGGACTCGGGGGCGCCCCCGCGCGTGGCGGAGCAGACCTGCTCCCCGGGCTCTGGAGGCTGTCGTCCCTGCAGAAGCAGACCGGCAGCCTTTGGGCTAGCAGCTGACTGCACACGCCGGCACCACCCAGGCCCCTAAAGTGAAGGCAATGGTGCCTCAGCCCCGCTCTTGCCTAATAGCCCCTCACCTCATGCCCTCCGGGGACTGGGGCACAAGGTCCTCGCTGGGACTGCAAGAGCCACAATCCGGATGTGGCTGAACTGGACCGACAGGCACCACAGGTGTGTGTGTAAGCCCCGGGTTAGAGGGCAATTCGCCACCAGGAAGCCAGGCACAAGCATTCCAGCTGCCAGAATACCAGGACCACAGGGAGGCCGGGGAGAGAAGCAGAGTGCATGGGCAGGGGGAGGTGTGCAAACACACGTCCGCTGGCATGTGGTACGTGCTGCGTGTGGCATGCACTGGTGGGTGCTGGCGTGTGGCGTGCACTGGCGTGCGGCATGCCCTGACGTGTGCGATGGGGAGTGGCCTGCACTGGTGGGTGCTGCCGTGTGGCGTGTGCAGGCAGTGAGCTGCAGGCAGCAGGCACACCCTCCACGTGCACGCACCCTGTAACTCCTGGAGGGCCGAGCCGCACCGCACACAGAGGAAGGCTGGAGGAAGGAAGCAGAGGGCAGGTTCAGGAGCCATGAGGACACGGCCACAAACAGCACCATCACAGGTCACTGGGCCTCAGCCAGTGGTCCCGAGGGCCTGACTCGGGCTTGGCGGGAAAGGCAGGCCACAGCTCAGTGTTCACAGCAGCCCCGACAGGAGCAGGCCCGAATGCACAAGGAGGGTGAACAGAAATGACTGTGGGCTTCAGAACGCACACTCCCAGCATCTTTGAAACTGGATGATTTTACGGCCAGTTGTTTCCAGGTGTTCCTGGAAGGGAGGGCCAGGGGTGCGAGAGAAGTCTGGGGGCCGTGCTAATTGGCACCAACACCTCCAACTCCTAGGCTGGGGAGGCACTTCACCAAACACACAAAACCAGCCCGTGGCCTGGAGGGGACCCCGACTCGCAGTGAGCCCAGGTGCGTCAGAGGCCAGCTGTGCCCCACAGGGCTCTCACTGGTTGACCTTTCAGAAACGGATCATGAGGTCTTTCTTCCGAGGTATCTCGGGGTGGGTTCAAATTGGCAACTTGTCAGTTAGCAGGTGAGTATTTAACTCTCGGTGCCACCCCGGCACACAGTGAGGCCCTTCAGGGTCCTTCATATACACAGTTCTGCTTGTGCAGGGAGGAGAAGCCCGGGGTTCACTGCTGTCTGTGGTCCCCAGTAGCAGCCTTCAGGACATGGCAGGAGCGAAGGACCTAGTCGGTGTCAGGGCTGGCACTGCAGAAGCGCCCAGCTCTAACCCTGTACAAAGGACTCCAGCCCAGACAGCACTCCAGGGCGGGGCAGTGCCTGACGCATGAAGGCCACTCGTGACTCACATGTCCCAGAGGCCGTGAAGCCCACAGCACAGAGGCCACACCAGGTGGGGCGGGGTGCTGAGGCACCAGCAGTGCGAGTCTACGTGCACATCCAATGACACCTCAACCTCCAGAATGTGGTCTCCACCTGCCACTGGGCACCAGCTTCCTTGTATCAAAACAAGACTCGGACACCTACAGCTACGGGAGCCCAGGCCTCAGGCCAGGCCTGGATGCTGGGAGCCGAGCGGGCAGCGAGAGCCAAGGGCACAAAACAGCTCTCCCCGCTCCTCAGGGACACAGGGGCCGGGCTTCCAAACTGCTTCCTGGGCACAGTGACAGCACGAATGAGAAACAGACCCGAATGAAAAGCCCAGATGGGGAACAACTGCTGGACAAGGACAGCAGGCTCGTGACCCCAAGGTTTCGGACCTGGGCTTCTGAAAACACCCATTTTTAATAATAATAAAGAGCTCTGGTGGTGTAGTGCCTGTGGCACTTGACTACTAACCAGAAGGCTGGTGGTTCAAACCCACCAGTTGCTCCTCGGAAGGAAGGCTGGGCAATCTACTTCTGTAGTGACACTGCCTTGGCAACCCAAGGAGGGTTGCTATGAGTCGCAATTGACTCAACGGCAGTGAGGTGTTTTTCCTTTTTTAATAATAATAATAAATACAGTTGACACCGAGTTGGCACCCCCCCCATGGACCCCCTATTTCCTGTATCAGGTCCTAACATGATTTTTGATGGACGCTTTTAAAAGGTTAAGGTCTTAGCAAATTAGTTAAGCCAATGAAAACCCCCCTGCACACTGCTCTCTCACAGACGATACACCGAAGAGGCTGAAGACCCGGAAAGGCAATCAGCAATCAACACGACACACAGGAGGAGGAGGAGGAGGAGGAGGAAGTGAGGAGGAGGAGGAGGTGAGGAGGAGGAGGGAAGGAGGGAGACAGACCCGGTTTCCATTCTGGGTGGACAGGGGTTTGGAAGCAAGACCACTGCTGGGCAGTCCCAGGTCCACGCAGGAGAGCCCCTGAAATCAGACAAGAGGAGGAAAGGGGAGGGGCAGGCAGAAAGGGACATCAGCACCTCAAACCAAGCCAGAAGGCCCCGTGCATGACAGTGGTTGCTGGGAAGTCATCGAGCCCAGGGACCCACCCAGACAGCACCTACCTGCAGCTTCTCTGCCAGGTGCCACGGACAGTGCTCTGCTCACCTGGCCTCTCAGCAGGAGCCCTACCTGCTCCTGTTTGTAGTTCACACTCACACCCTCTGCTAGGACCCTTCTGGCAGTCTCCTCCTCCCTGCTGGCCAGGTCGCGTACCTATCCATTGCTCCCTTCGTGCATCCGTGGGTGGTCTGCCTTCTGGTCTAGGAGCAAGCACTTCTGAGAGCACCCATCTCCTCTCATCTGCATGTCTTTGTGATCCCAAGCCCCATTCAGCCCTCCTCCCATCTAAACTAGCTCCCTGATGTCTGCTGGGGAGCTCTGGTGGCAGAGTGCCGAAGGCATTTGACTGCTCACCAGAAGGCTGGCAGTTCAAACCCACCAGTCATTCCTCAGAAGGAAGATCAGGCAATCTACTTCTGTAGAGATACTGTTGGAAACCCAAGAAGGGGTTGTAATGAATTGGATCCAACTTAACAGCAGTGAGTTTGGTTTGGGATGTCTGCTAAGTGAATAGGAACGTTAACTAGGGCAGGCAGGTATTACCTATTAACCTACACTGCTGTCGATTCAAGGAGCTCTGGTAGCTTAGTGCCTAAGGCACTTGACTGCTAACCAGACGGCTGGTGGTTCAAACCCACCAGCCATTCCTCGGAAGGAAGGTTGGGCAATCTACTTCTGTAGTGATTCTGCATTGGAAACCCAAGCAGGGGTCGCTATGAGTCAGGTCCGACTCGACGGCACAACAAGAAGCTGATTCCGACCCACAGCGCCCCTAGAGGACAGAGAGGAACTGCCCACAGGGTCTCCAAGGCTGTCAATCTTCACAGAAGCAAAGCCCAAACCACACCCACTGCCTGGAGTCCATTCTGACCCACAG